TTTTTTTTTKTTGTCATTTTGGCGAAAAGAAAATATATTTAAACTTGAATATTTGGACAATATTCAGGTCGGCTATGTGAATAAAAGTGCGTGCATAAATGTTTCAGTTAGTTAGATTTATGAAATATATTATTGTGGGGATAAATTGAATTTGTTATGAGAGTGGAGACGAGCGTGGTTTATGATAGGGGGCCACAGACACACGTGAACAATTGAATGCATTTTATCATTAAAAAAAAAATCCAATTTAATGCATCACTTTTTATTTTTTTAATTTCAAAATAAAATAGCTATTAATATGAATAGTGACACCCTAACAATATAATACAGTAGGTGTGACAGTAGATAGATGTAGATTGATTTGGATACATCATATGCGTAATTTTTTGAATTTATTTAACAAATTTAATTATAAGTATATTTATTGATTCATATAATAATAATAATAATAATAAATATATTTTTACTCCTTATAATTTAAGGAAAAAAAATAACTTTACTCGTAATTAAGTCGATSATTTTAGTCTTACAAGTAGTTTAATTTTATATGATCCCTTMAATCATTTATTCRTCAATGAGTTTTATAGAGAAGTAACATATCATAATTAAGAGCTTATATTATGATTTTGTCTAGTCTATTTTTATAGATTGCTTAGAAACCTTTGTTTAGAACTATACAAAAATTAATGAATCTAATTGAAAATCAAGTTTAAAAATAGATTTTTGCTTTTAGAAATAGAAAACAAAATGGTATGATAGACAAACTAATGAGTACTATGTGGGTCGGTATTTTGTTCGAGGTGTTTACAATAGGGATTAAATAGATTTATAATTTGAAGTTGAAAAACGTARTCAAAGGTTTAAAATACTATTTTGGTTCTTATATTTTCGATTTTTTTTTAAATTTTAGTCTTATAGTTTTAAATTTTCATTTTGGTTCATGCACACTCAGCTTTTGTTTCTGTGTACTCTCTAAACATTTGATTTTGGTTTTTGTAATTTTAAAGTGATAATTTTGGTATTTATTTATAAAATTTTAACACAACTTTTATACATAATATAAATTATTTTATACAAATTAATGACTACAAAGATATTTAGTGAGTGAAATGTCAGGTTAATTTTTGATTTAAATAAACGAGAAAAAAAAATGAATGGACCAAAATCATCATTTATTTAAAAAAAGAAACAAGGATTAAAATGAACTATTTTGAAAATACAAATTAAACTAAAATGAACAAAAGTGGTAAGTTATACAAAATAAAATAGATATTTTGAAAATATAAAAATCAACCTGAACTAACCCTAAAATTTATATAAAGTATTGAAAGTAATTTTTTTTTTTTTTTGAAAACGTATTGAAAGTAAAATTAATAAAAATAGACTTTTCAAAAGATGGCTAGGCATTTCATCCCCTCCATTGATGGACCATTTCCTTTTTATTTTCTTCTTCTAATTGTTTTTATAATTATTTTTATTTTTGTGGTTTTTGAGAAAAACATAGTGGAAGGGCAATAACTTTCAATGCTTTATGGTGGCTATTGATAACATAACATGTCAATCAATGTTATCCAACTTGTAAAATTGGATGAATTTGGTCTTTCTTGATCTCTTCAATCTAACCTTCCTTTTTCTTTCATTTTATAACTATTTCTTTCTTTTATTACCTGCCATATATTTTGGTATGTACTTTGAATACTAATCAAAAATAAGTCGGGTCATTATTCAACCTACCTTTCATCGTACAATTTAATATTCGTTTGGTTTTAATAGTCAAAAAACAAAACAAATTTATTTGGATTTGTTTGAATTAATAATTTTTGTTTTTGGCTCTTTATTATTAAATAAAGTAGTTTAACAATGTTACTTTATAGTTTAAGAAAGGTGCGAACCTTTAAACATTATTTTACTTTGTTTCTCGCCCTTTTTAAGAATACATTTAAACCCATCAAACCAAATATATCTCACTAAATAAATACCAACTCATCCGAGTTGATGAACTAAAAAACATCTAAACTCTTAAGCAAAATTTTATATCTAACACTTAGATTTTCAAACAAAAAAGTAAATGCTAAATAATAACCATCAAACCATCATAATTAATAAAAGAAATGTTAGTAACAAAGTATACATTTTAATAATGAGAAGGTTATCTAGGATGCCTTTAACAACGTTCTGTTCTCTTTTCTTGTATCTTGTTTTCAATTTTGATAAACATAAACGTCTCGTAACTATTTTTGTTCTCGTTTCTAAATTTTTAAGAAATGTTTCCAAATTATATCGATAGTTAGGATAGGTTCCAATCACTCTTTTGATGCCATGACGTTGTGGTTGCACGAGAACCATTGAATGAGGCTATTTTTCATCTCATTGTTAGCGTGTGGGAATACCAAGTGCAGCCAATAACAACGTATACCCTCGAAAGAGTCCAAGATTGCTTCATCAAATGAGTTTCCTTTTAGAGAGTATTAGAATCTTGAGTTAGCTCTACCTTTTATGGTGATAGAGATGAGAGG